CATAGCCCTAGGGACAGCTGGGTGGGGACTGAGACTAGAAGGATTCTCTGGGTTGGTCACAACTGTGTTGACAAACTTACCTGATTAAGTCAAGTGTTATACAAATACTAAGTTTCATCAATTCTTAGATGTGCTTTTTTTTTTTTTTTTTTTACATTTAACATCTCAGAACTCATACTGCACATTGCATCAGATGGCTTCTTAAAGTGACCATTAACTGGGCAGCAGTTATGACTCAGTTGTTTTTGAAAGTGCATGCATGAACTTAGTCATAGCTCTTCAACACTTCTTGAGTTATGGGTATTGTTGGCTATTTAGTATGTTTAATATCCATTTAAAATAGCAAAAATTTCCAAGGAATAGAAGCAGCCATGGGAACGGTGGGTTATAAACTTGTAGTGGTGAGGCAAATATGGATTATTGGAGAAATAACCACAATTCCATCCTTTCTTGCAAAGGAACTAAGTAATTTACAATTCCTAAAAAGGTGGGTAGCCTTGAGTAGGTAAAGCAAAAGGGTTGCTTATTTCACTTAAGGTTGGATAAGTCACAAAGTCTCTCAGAATATAAGAAAGAATATGTATAAGGATAAGCACTCTTGTTAAGGCACAAAATATTAATTTGTCAAAAAATGCCCTGCTGTCTTTGAATAGAAACGGCTAAATTTTCAAAGATGTATGATGTACTAGTTGCTGAAAAAAATGAAACTGTGTTTTGACAAGTATGAAATGCTGATAAACCCTGATATCCTATGGCAGCCATCAAAATTATACTGTCAATGCTAAAGGTACTAAAAATAGATGAATTTATATAAATAAGTGGCATGTCACTATGATACTATGCATAAGCCTCCCACTATGTTTTATTAAAACTATAAAATGATATTTAATAAAATCTTCCCCTATGATGATATTGTGCATACTAAAAAGAATGGGATGCACAATACTTGAGTTGATGGTCTATAAAGTTGCCATAAACACTGAATTAGCAAATACTGAACCATTGCTCCAAGAGGAAATACAGGTTAGGTTCCTGTGAGCCTCTGTGAACAACATTTTCATCAGTTGATCAATACATAATGTTGTTTTATATGTGTTTCTGTTTAGTCAGCTTATTTAATATACAAGGAGTCTTCAAAAAGTTCATGGAAAGAATAATATTATCTTTTAATTCCATTTTTCCATGAACTTTAAAAAATACCCCTATATATTGGAGATTCATTAATATTGAACTATGGCCAACAGCACTTAGTCCACTTTGTGCTGATATTTAAAAATACCTTAGACTTGGTAATTTACAAAGAACAGAAATTTACTTCCTCACAGTTCTAGAGTGCTGTGGATTGAATGTTTCCCCAAAGCTCATTAAAGTTTAATCCCCACTGTAACTATTAAGAGGATGGGAAATCCTATTATGGTATTTGAAAGGTGAGGCCTTTTAGAAGTGATTAGATTGGGAGGACTGTACCCTTGTGAATGGATTGATCCATTCATGGAGTAATGGGCGTGGCTCTGATGGCTTTATAAGTAGAGCAAGTGAGAAGATTAGTGTGCACTCTTTCTCTCTCTCAAGCTTTTCATCACATGAGACCCTGTGTCCCTGTGGATAGTCACCACCATTGAAGAAGGCCCTCACCAGATATGTTCCCTAGACTTTGGACATCCTGGCCTCCAAAATTGTAAGAATAAATTTTATTCCTTTATAAATTACCCAGTTTAACGTATTCTGTTATAAGCAACAGAAATGGACTAATACATGGAGGCTGTAAGGTCCAAGATCAAGGTACTGGCATTTGGTGAAGGCCTTCTTGCTATGTCATCCCATGGCTGAAGGTGGAAGGACAGAAGAGGGTGAGAGAGAGCAAGAGGAGCCAAATGTGTCCTTTTATAAGAAATCCACTCCCATAATAATGGCATTAATTCATTCATTCATGAGGATGGTGTCCACATGATCCAAACACCTCCTGTTAGGACCCATCTCCCAACACTACTACACTGGGGATCAAGTTTCTAACACAAGAACTTTGGGGGACACATTCAAACCAAAGCAAGCACTATAACTGAAGGTCTGAACAAAGCTTATCTAACACATATGTTTTCTCTGTAAGGCACATCATAGCCTTCTTGCACTTAGAAACACTAGAAAGCACTTCATCACTACGCGTGGGGGCCATTTTAAACAGTAAAATTGTCAACAAAAAGCACAAAAATAGAGAAAATGAAGCACTAAATAGACCATGAAAAGAACGCTTGTTTCTATTGTGAGAGCTGAAATAAGAAGGCAGACCACTGCTTTGTTCAACTTCAGCTGGGAACTCATATTTTTTGCAATTTTGTGCATGTGTGTGAATGACCACGAAAGTGCTGTATTGATTTGTGAGTTATAAATAAATTTCAGCAAGTAGGCAAATTCAAAATGCAGAATCCATGAATAATAAGAATGGACAGAACTTTGCTCTTTAGTGGAAAACACTTCCAAGTCATATGGCAAAATATGAAGATAAAAGGGTTAAAAAATTGGGGCCAATGATGCCAAATCTTGGGCCTCCTCAGAGACCCATGGATCAAAATCTGCATTTCAGATATCCCAAGTGTTTCTATGCACATTCAAATCTGAGAAGTACTGCCCATGATATCATGGTAAGTACATACATGACAGAGGGTAGAAGTTAAAGATTAGAAGCCAGTTAACATTTGTAAGTTTTTATTGGTCCAAAGGTCTGAGGAATGCTAGGATAACAACCTCTCTAAGGTGAAAGATGAGTTACTGCATCTTGAAATTCCTATTGATAGGAAAGAGACAGGGCACTTGGTGGGCCTCTTTAGCTTTTAGAGACAACATCTACCACACTCGGGAATACAGCTCAAATTCAACATTTATTGGGTGGCATGGAAGACTCCCCATTTGAGTGTGTCCCTGAGCAAGAGTGCTCTGCAGCAAGTCCATGCTGGGATGCACGCTGCCTTGTTATGTGGCCTTAAGTCTCAACAGATGCAGTGGTGCTAGAGTTGTTTATGGTGGATAAGGATGCTGTGTGGAGTCTTAGGCAATCCCTAACAGGATAGTCACAGTGTAGAACCTCAGAGTTCTGGAGCAAGGCCATTCCTCTAACAGCAAGCCATTTGAAAAGCAGCCCCTGAATTGCCACTGGGCCCTAGTAGAGACTGAGAGCCTTGCCATGCAACTCAAGCAATTATGCAACTAAAGCTGCACATCATGAGCTGGACATTGTCAGATTTACCAAGTCACAGTGTTGGGTGGATATAGCAGCAATCCATCAGACAGAGAAAGAGAAAGAGGAACCAAGGGTTGAAAATGTCATTGAGGTGAAAGGACAGTAGCCAGAAGAACATGGCTGGGAGTCTTGGAAGTTCCCCAAGAAAGGCAAGATCAAAATTATAAAATTATCTTTTTCCCACTCTCTACTCTCTCCCTGAATTCCCTGTATTGAGTTTGGAGTAGTAATATGCACTCTATTTCATGTCAAATCTCTGGAGTCATCATTGACCTCTCCTGCTCATCAAAGAGATAACCCCTTCAAATAATATCTGCTGAATCTGTATCTGCATCTCTATTTCCAAGGCTACTGCCCTAATTCTCTCAGCACTTCCCTCTTGCAAAATTTCCACATTATTGAAAAATGGTGTTTCTGCACATCTGATTATATCATTCATTCCTCAAATATTTATTAAGCATCTACTATGTATCAGGCACTGGGTTAGGCCCCAGGGAAACAACGTGAAGAAGGAAAAGGCACTGCTGCTGGCCTCCTGGAGTTTACAGTCTGGTGGAGGAGAGACAAAAAAAATCCTGTTTAAAATTCTTCAATGGTTCCCTGCTGTTTTGAGGATGAAGCCCAGATGTCTTGATAGGGTTGCCCGTGATTATCTCTCCAGCATCACCTCTAACCAGTGTTCATTACTCTCGCAGGCTCCGCAGCCACAATGTACTTTCCCTTCTTCAGAGCACCCTCCTCTCTGCCTGGGTTCAGTCCAGGAATCCACTTTCTCCAAGAAGCCTTCTGGACACGCACTTCCCCCGTTAGCTGCACTTCTCTGTAATTCCAGCACGCCTCATGCTATCACTACCACAAACGAACCATGCTTCATGGTGATTCTCTATTCTCTCGTGCACCCCCTCTACTCTTGAGTGAACTCAGCTTTGTGTTCCCAACACGTAGTACAGTGTCTGGTTCATAGTAGGTACTCGACATTTTTTGTCAAACGGACTGAATAGATATATATAGAAATGCCCCCCCTCCCCCAATAGCACATAAGGCCAATACATCACTTCTGCACCCTGACAAAGGAGCGACAGGGCCATGACTAGAGGGCGTCCTCTGGCCCTGCTGTCTTCTGACGGGTAGCAACCTGGTCCCTCTCTCGCAGAATAGTACTCAGCGACGCGCCCCCTAGCGCCTCCGGCTGACACTGCAAGAATGGGAGGGCGCCGGCAAGCATGCGGTCCCAGACCAGAGCGTGGCGCAAGCGCAGAACGCGAGCGCTCGGCTTGGATAAGGAGAGTCCAAGCGTGAGGGGGGCGGGCTGTGGATTCAGATTCTGTTTTTCTTGCTAAATCGAGAAGTAGCCCTATTTTTTTTCCCTTCGACTGTATCTTAATTGAAACTATAAGAAAAAGTGTGGCTCTGCAGGGACCTATAAAGGGGATAGGGGGTTGTTAAGCTCTACTCTGTCCTTCGGCTCCCCTCTTGCGGGGCGGTGGGTTGGAAGGTCCCAGGTCAAGGCGCGCGGGGGCGGAAGCGGCGGCGGCGGCGGACGTCAGAGCCGAGAGGGGCAGGGCAGAGCGGCCATGGAGGGTCGGCATCGCTGGCTGCCACTGGAGGCCAATCCTGAGGTGAGCGCGGCTCGGGTTCGCTCCTGGGGCCGCGGCCAGGGACGGAGGGATTCGGGCTGCCGCAGCTGGACCGCGGCGGTTTGGTTCTAAATCGTGTTCTGTGTTTGGTTTTCAGGTCACCCCAGGTCAAGGCGCGGGGGGGCGGAAGCGGCGGCGGCGGCGGACGTCAGAGCCGAGAGGGGCAGGGCAGAGCGGCCATGGAGGGTCGGCATCGCTGGCTGCCACTGGAGGCCAATCCTGAGGTGAGCGCGGCTCGGGTTCGCTCCTGGGGCCGCGGCCAGGGACGGAGGGATTCGGGCTGCCGCAGCTGGACCGCGGCGGTTTGGTTCTAAATCGTGTTCTGTGTTTGGTTTTCAGGTCACCAACCAGGTGAGTGAGGTGTCTGTCGCTGCGGACCCCGGAGTCTTTTCTGCCTTCGTGGTCAGCTTTTTCACGTCTACGCTCCTACGGATTCCGGGATTTAATTCCTTGAGGGTCTCTCTTGTTCTGCTTCAGGCGGCACCTCCCCTTTCACGGCTGTCTCTCTGCCACCTGGCTCCTGGTGATGCTCCTAGCTGCCTCAGCCCCTTTCCTGGTCTCCATCCCGGGTCATCACGTTTCCTGGGGCCTCCGGTCTGAGGTTTGAGGGACTTTCATCCCGTATTCCTATTTCTTTTCCCTCCTCGTTTTGCCTCCGACTAGTGCCGATTCCATGATTTTTCCCACCCTGTACCTTCTGGGTGACTAATTTGCCGACACTTGTGACTCCAAGCTTTGTTAACTCGCCCACCCCGTCCTTGTAATTTCATACACCTCCTGCACTATGAAATCATCTTCCAGTCATCTTCTCTTGCCCCATCAAGTTACTTCTCCCCGCCACGCCCCCTTTCTCTTCCAGTCTTTTAAAACTGGAAATTTAGTTGCTTTCATACCATAGAAAGCTCAGCTTAATAGTTTCCACTCTATTCTTTGCCACCTACGACCCTTAAACTTCGCTTTGGGTATTGGAAGTTGGGGTTTGGGGAGGGAAGAGGGAACATCTCCCAGCTACTTGATTTAAAGAACAGTGGGTGTTATCGGGTATAAACTTTTGATTTGCTGAGGTGTATCTCGTCTTATCCTGTTTTTTCATTCTCAACAGCTCGTTACTGCTCTCTTGGTTTATCGTATGAAATTACCCCCCCGTCCCCCCATGGTCCTTGTCATTAACAAGGAGTATTCATTATGTACTTAAATTGTTGTTTGGTTTTCAAAGCTTATAGCAAGTTCCTTATATTAAGTAGGTAGTTAGGCTTTATCTTGATTAAGCTGTAAACCCCTTTACCTTCTTGTTCAGGTTTATTATATGCTTTTGAAATGACTGTTATTCCCCTGACTTTTTAGTAATCTAGAAATATACAAAGCTTAAAACCCAGAATGTATCTTTTATATTATTCTTATGGTGACTTTTCCAATGGATGTTAATTTTCTTTTGTTTTCCGGCCTTCCAAATCTGGTGTTCATTTTTTCCCTAACACATATTTGTCCCCTTTGTACAGAGAAAAATCTTAAGGCTGAAGAAATCAGTATTTGCAATTTCCGATTTAGTGCTGTAGGAAAGAAGCATATTTCTTTCAGACCTAAACCAAACTATTTTTACACCTTTGTCAAAAATCAATTTACCAAATACCTGGATTCTTTTTTGTTCCATTGATCTATGTGTTTGTCCTTTCACTGGTACTACACCATTTTGATTACCGTCGTTTTATAGAAAGACCTCACATCAAATAGTATGAATCCTCCAACTGTGTTCTTTTTCAAAATTGTTTATTTCTTTCTAGTTACTTTGCCTTTTCATATAAATTTTAGAATCAGCGTATCTGTCTCTACAAAAAGCCATGCTATGATTTTGGTAGGGAATGTGTTAAATCTATGGATGTATTTTGAGAAAAATTAACTTAACAATACTGAGTGTTGTAATTCATGAAGGCGTACATTTCATCATTTAGTTAGGTCTTTGATTTCTTTCATCAGTGTTTTGTAGTTTCAGCATGTTTATCTGGAAGATATTTTGTTAGATTTATTGTACTTATTTTGTTTCAGCATTTATATCTTGGATATTTTGCTAGGTATTTAATGATTTTTGGTGCTGTAGTAAATGGTACTGTTTTAAAATTTCAATTTCTAGTTGTCTATTGCTATGAATAGAAATATAACTGATTTTTAATAGTTGACTTTGTATCCTGCTGCCTTCCTAAATTTACTTACCAGTCCTACTTCCTGTTTTCTGTAGATGCTTTGTAATTTTCTATATAGACAATTATGTTTTCTGTGACTGTTTTGTTTCTTTCTTTTCTGTGTGCCTTTATTTCTTTTTCTTGCCCTCTTTCACTAGTTCGGGCCTTTAATACAATGTTGAATAGTATGGAGAGAGGGACATCTCGTGTTGTTCCCCATCTTAGGGGGAAAACATTTGATCTTTCACCATAGAGTATGTTAGCTATAGGCTTTCAGTAGATGCTATTTCGTTAGGCTAAGGAAGTTTCCTTTCTTTTCTAGTTTGCTGAGAGGTTTTATTATGAATGTGTTGAATTTTCTAAAATGATTTTTCTGCATCTCTTGAGATGATCGTTTAAGGAAGAAACAATACCAATTCTACATAAACATAAAAGAAGGGAGACAATTCCCAACTCATTTTATGGCCAGCGTTACCCTGACGTGAAAACCAGACAAGCCAAGAAAAACTGCAGGCCAATTCCTCATGAATGTGGATGTAAAAATCCTCAACAAAATATGAGCAAATTGAAAAAATGTAAAAAGGGTGATAAATCCTGACCAAGAGCAGTTTATCCTGGTATTGCAAAGATGGCTTACCATTCAAAAGTCAATGTAATTAGCCATATCAATAGACTAAAAAACAAAACTGTTTTTAGGTGATAATTATTGTTTTAATGAGATATAAGCTTGTATAACTGGAAACATATTCTGTGATTCAGCTGCTATTGGAACTTGTTCCTAGGTGATCTTTATAAACTATAAAACACATTCACTCATTCACATTAATTAAATGATATTTTGGGCATACCTTTCATAATACCACTTGTTTGAACAGTAGTTGGTTATTCTTTGGTGATTAAAATATTCATGGTTTTCTGCATTTCAGTCAAGTGGGAAAACAGTAAACAAGTAAGCACACACATCATTAGTGATTGTTTTAAATGCAATGAAAAAAATTAACAGGGTGCTGTGATTGAGACCATTGGGGAAAACTTAATAGGTTGGTTAGAGTGACAGGAGACATTTGTGAGGTGACATAAGCAAAGGAAAGATGTTTTTTAGTCTATGATTGTACACTGTGTGTGGCATGCTTTATTTTAAATTTATTTATTATAGGAATAATATTTTTTTTAGTGGGAGAATGAGCAAGTATCTAAGAAGTTGTTGATTTTAACCAAAATTTTTGTGGTTGTTTCTTTGTTCTCTGTGAGTTAAAGGCAAAACCCAGAATAGAAAATGAATAGAAATTTAATTAACTGACTTAGAATTTAAAGAATTAATAAACCCCAACAACAAAATCCATCCCTACCCTCTCATTAACTCAACCTAATAGAATCATAGGACTTTTACTTGATCTTGATCTCACTCTGTTACCATCTGGTAATTGCATGTGTTATTAAATCTAAGTTTGAGCAAATATTGTTTTATGTCCTAATGATGCCTAGTGTGTAAGAATGGCCAACCAATTTCTACTATAAGAAGATCAGTATTAATTGTTAGACATTAGCTAGTAAGGATATTTTGTCATGCTACAGGTAGGACTTAGAGTAATAGAAATATCCTTAATTGTGATTTTATTGAGGAGGCAAAATATTTTCTAGCATAATGTCCAAAGGTAAATAAATTTACTTTAACATAACTATTCTATTTAGCCTAAATGCTTAGAGTTAGAAAAGCAATTAGAGGTCATATGCTGGATTATTGCCATAAACATACATTACTGTGTTGTCCTCTAGCTACTGCATTGTCTGTTTCCCTTGTAAACTTTCCATGAAGAAAGAATTGTCCATAGCTACTGTCGCTACTACCTCATCTCCTATTCTCTTCTGTGTTCACTCCTATCTAGCTTGTTTATATCCCATCCATTTTATAATAACTACTTTTGTCAGATTTACTAATGATTGCTGCTTTGCCAGATCCAGAGGTCACTTTTCTGTCACTGTATTTTTTGGCCTGTCAGCAGCATTTGGTAGATCAGCCATCCTTCTTGAAACATTATCTTTTCTTGGCTTCTGTGATAATCCTGGTTTTCCTCCTATTCCCCTGACTACTTTTTAGATTTTTCTTTGCTAGATCATCTTCCTTCCAATTTCTAAGGGCTCCTTAGAGTTTTTTCCTAAACTGCTAATCTTTTCTATGTGCATTCTCTCTCTAGTGATGTTGTTTGTTGTGTACCTTTAATACCATCACTAGTCACATAGTTGACCCCAAGTTCCTCTAACCTCTCACTTCACCAAATTAGAAAATTGTACATTCAACTATCTCTTTGATATCTGCATCTGCATGTCTTATAGATACCTCAAACTTAACATGGCCAGAAAAGAAATCTTGGTTTACATCATCCCACAATCTCCCCAAATCCATTTGTTTCCCAGTCTCCCATGCACACTGCTATCTATCCAATGTTCAAGTCAGTGTCATTGATTCTTCTCCCTGACTGTGTAGTTTTGAAGAGGCTGTAGCTTATTGATTTGATTTCCTAGGTTAGAATGTCTGCTCTGCCATCTACCAGCTCTGAGACCATGGGCAGTTACCTACTCTCTTTGTACCTCAGTTTGTTGATTTCTTATAACCTCTCCTAATCTTGTTAAGATTGTTGTGAGCATTCAATAACATGTAAAGTATGTAGAATGATGTATGAAACAAAGCATCACTCCATGAATGCTTGCTAGTTTTTTTTTTTTTTTTTTTAAAGATGACCGGTAAGGGGATCTTAACCCTTGACTTGGTGTTGTCAGCACCACGCCCAGCCAGTGAACGAACCGGCCATCCCTATATGGGATCCGAACCCGTGGCCTTGGTGTTATCAGCACCGCACTCTCCCGAGTGAGCCACTGGGCCGGCCCATGCTTGCTAGTTTTTAATATAACCCGTGGCCTTGGTGTTATCAGCACCGCACTCTCCCGAGTGAGCCACCGGGCCGGCCCATGCTTGCTAGTTTTTAATATATTTTTTTTACCCTCTTGCAGACTCTTCTTTCAAAATTTATCCCATGTCTGGCAATTTTCTCCATTTCTAATACCACCACCCAAGCCACCGTCATCCTAACTTGGACAATTGAAGCTGCCTCCTAACTAGTTTTTCTGCTTTACCATTTGCCTCCTTAAAATTTATTCTCCATTGTATTATTCTATTTGTGTTGCTATAACAGAAATACTGGGTAATTTATAAAGAACAGAGGTTTATTTGGCTTATGATTCTGGGACAGCTGCATCTGGCATGGGCCTGAGGCTGCTTCTACTCATGGCGGGAATCAGCAGGCAGCTGGTGGATACAAGCAGATAACATGGCAAGAGGAAGCAAGAGAGAGAGATGGGGGAGGTGCCAGGGTCTTTTAAACAACCAGCTCTCTCGGGAACTAATAGAGTGAGAACTCACTCATTAATCCCCCCACCTAGGGATAGAATTAATCCATTCATGAAGGATCTGCCCCCATGACTCAGTCAGTTTCCAACACTGCCACATTGCGAATCAAATTTCTGCATGAGTTTTGGGGGGACAACTCTTCCAACTCTATTATCCGTATATACCCAAAGTGGTCTTATAAAAATGCAAATCACATCTTGTGACTCCTTGCTTAAAATACTCTAATGGTCTTCCACTGTTTGTCCTTAGAATACAATTCAGACTTGCTGTGGCTGGATGAGGAGGTACTGCCCAACTCTGTCCCATTCATGCTGTGCTGCAGTCTTCAAATGTCAGCCCATCCCTGCTTCAGAGACATTGCACTTGTTATCCTTTGCTTGAATCATTGTACTCAAGGTTGTTTCATGGCTGATTCTTTTTTGTTTGTGGCTCAACTTCAGATCACTTCCTCAGTGAGTCTTTTCTTGACTACACATCTAAAGTATCCCCTCCAAGTCTGTACTGTCCTGTCTTGTTTTATTTTCTTTATAAAACTTACCACCTTGTGAAATTATCTTGTTTCTTATATGTTTACTTGTTTATCATGTGTATCTTACCTCTAGAATGTAAGTTTTGTGAGAGCAGTGACAAATCTTAAGTACCAAGAATGGTGCCTGGCCCTTGGGCTCCCAATAAATAGTTATTGAATGGAAAAATGAATAGATCTTATGAATATAAAGGTGCTTTCCTGTTCCAGAAAATCTTTCCCCAAATTATCCTTAATGTGGTCATGAATCCTTTGCCTGAATATTATTATTTTTTTTCCTTTTTGTCTTTCGTACTGACTGGTAACGGGATCGCAACCCTCGGTGTTGCACCCACACCGCACTCAGCCAGTGAGCGGGAACCAGTCTCCACATGGGATCTGAACTCTCTAGTGCGCCACCAGGCTGGCCCCTTTGCCTGAATATTTTAATGAGCAATATTCTATCTCGTAAGGTGGTTTAATTTTTTATTATAATGCCGAGAATAATATATAATATAATTAGAAGAATTATATTTCTTTTTATTAAACCAAAATCTTCTTTTCCGTAACTTCCTCCAAGTTTTCGTCCATCCTCCCATTGAAACCATACAGAGTAAATTTAATTGCTCTTCCATGATATTACTAAAAATATCTGGGGACAGGGATCATGACAATTTAATTCTTCTATGAACATGCCCAGATTCTCCAGCTATAATGTCTTCGAAAACCTTATCATTCCTGGTCACTTTCCTTTGGATTCTATTCCCTTTGTCATTGGCCTTCATAAAATATCCCTCCCAGAGCTGGTATCATAATCCATGTTGAATAATCTATTTTGAGTACAGTGGCTATTACTACATTATCTTGAATGAACCTTCTTTTAAAGCAGACTAGCATTGCATCACCTTTGTTGACAATTTTGTAGTTAGTACATATTGAGCCTGCAGTGAAGTCAACCCCCTTTGTTCTTAATCCCCACATAGAACGTTTTTAGTGTTTCCGCATTCTGTACTTAAATAATCTCATTTTTGTTTTATGTTTTACTCAATTTCCATTAAATTTCATTATTACTAGTTTTCAAACTGCCATTTTCTCATTTAACTATTAGTTATTCTCCTAGTTCTTCAACTAGCAGTTACTACTCATGTACTCTTACTGGTAGTAATATCAAACAATTACTAGACAAATATAACTTATGTCATAATTCACATAATTAATAAATTAGTAACAAGGCAGAATCTCTTGTTGCCCTGAGCAGCTAATTAAAGACCACCGGAAGTGGCACCGTACTCATTATTTTTTCTTTTTTCTCTATGTCATAGGTTAAAGTCTGACATTTTATTTGAAATGAAATTATGAGTTTTAAAAAACCAGTAATCTGTTACATTTCTTTTGCCAGATATGAGAGGCAATGAAGTTGAGAGTAGGTTTCATTGTATACTAGAGGTCAGGAAGCCAGTGGTTTACTTGCAATATCAAGCATTTTCTTGTGTTTACACAGGTAATTTGGATTTTTTTGGCTCTTTGTCCATTGATATAATTCTTAGCTATGTATCTTTCTTTAAACCTCAGACATTATTTTTGGTAAGTAGGATAAACTGTGTTGGTCTTTCACTAAATTAATAATTTACTGGAACTTTGGTGTATCTTCTTAAAAAGCAAGTGCTAGAAATGAATTCAACATATCAACCAAACCAACTTGTACGTATTTGGTAAAGTTCTGGCTTACATTCAGTCTCAAAGTAATAGACTTGAAAAAGGAATTTTGCTTTTTATGTTTTGAATTTTAAGTGTTTGTTATGTGGTATAAATAAGTTGCTATCTCTTCCCACCCTGTTCATGGAAAAGTTGCTTTAATGTATTCTTTTTTCCCCACCTTTATTAAGGTATAATTGACAAATAAAAATTGCATATATTTATGGTGTACAATGTGATGTTTTGATATATGCTGCTTTCTGCATTATTATTGAACATCAGTAATAATTTGTATTACATTTCCTTATATGCATTAGGTACATAGTATATACTTGTTGATTATTTCAATGTTAACATTCTACTGGTATTTCTTTTACCAGTTAACATTCTACTCTTTTTTTTTTTTTAATTTTACTAGTTTCTCCAACAATTAGGTCTACATCCTAACTGGCAATTTGTTGATGTATATGGAGTGGATCCTGAACTCCTTAGCATGGTACCAAGACCAGTGTGTGCAGTCTTACTTCTCTTCCCTATTACAGAAAAGGTAATATAAAGTAGTTTTCATTATTGAATTAAAAATAGAATTTTTAAGAACAAATGGTCCTCCTCTTGCATAAAATCAGGCAGTCCAGACAGTGAGGAAATCTTAAAAATGTTTTATTAAAGAGACGATATTTAGATTTGATTTATAAATTGACAATAAAGCTCTGGGTTAGTCTTTTAAGCTTGGGTATTTTTTTTTTTTTAATAAAATATTAGTTTGCTTCAACTGTGTTATGATGTAACATTTAATCACATTTTGATGTATGTACTCTAGAAATTTAAGCAGTAGAATGATCCTAAATCTGTATTAGAAAATATATGAATAAAGAATATTCATTCAATATTATCTCAATATAAAAAATACACAAATTTTTTTCTATATGTAAAAAGAAATCTCCTTTGCTTATTTTAAAGGAGATAGGGGAAGCTGATGACATGGGTTACATTATTTTCAAAATAAACTTGATTTGGGTGGGAATCACTAAGCTTAAATACTGTTAATTGGCTTTGTTAGGATGTTTTGGAAATTATAAATAGTTATTCCTAGATCTCAGTATTTAAATTCAAATCTCCATATTTCAATTCTTCTAGAATGCTGTCGTGCTCGTGTGTGTGTGTGTGTGTGTGTGTGTGTGTGTGTGTGTGTGTGTGTGTAGTAGAGCTAGAACTTTTAAGTACATTTAAAAATAGCTGGTGAGTCTATATATTTCTGATTTTTATTTTTAAACTTAGAAATAATAGGATGAACAGTAGTTGTAAAAAATGAGGAAATGTTTGGGAAAATGTGAGAGAAATGAGGTGTTGATGATTTGACATATACATGCTTAGGTCATCCTATTCTTCAGAAATAAATGGAGCCAAATCTCACAGAAATTAAGAATTAGGCTTTGCTCAGTCCTACATATTCTTCATCATTTTTTTTTTTGCCATAACTAAATAGCCTCAGTTTGAGATTAAATAAATAATATTGAAATTTTTCTCTCTTATACTTAAGGTTGTACAAAACAAATTATTTAATAAAAGAAATGGTATTTTTTCACATTTTGTATTCATAATATTGATAGGAATTTAAGTTAGAAAGTTTTTGTGATTATCCAGTGTTAACCAAACCTTTGTTTTTAGTGGTGAGATTGTGATTATTCTGAAATTTGTAGAAGAAAGAGCAGTAAAGAATTGAAAAAAAATCAATTGCTTAAAGCTTATGCTTTCTTAGCTGATGTGATACAAATATGAGTTCATGGTTTGAATTAGAAATTTCCCAAACCATCGGTTTTTATGATTTCCTTTTTTTTTTTTTGTACAGAATAAATTGGATTTGATCTCCTTCATTTAGTGGGTCAGTATTAAAAAAACCATGTTATTATCAATAGGAGCTCTTCATTTAATGGATCAGGAGAACTGAAGATCATTAGAACTTGTGCTTATCGGGCCGGCCCGTGGCTCACTCGGGAGAGTGCGGTGCTGATAACACCAAGGCCACGGGTTCGGATCCCATACCCATTCGGATGGCCGGTTTGCTCACTGGGTGAGCGTGGTGCTAACAGCACCAAGCTAAGGGTTAAGATCCCCTTACCGGTCATCTTTAAAAAAAAAAAAAAAGAACTTGTGCTTATTGCTAGGAAGAACACAATTCTGAAGTATGTATGTAAGTAAGTATAGATACTTTACATACATACTTTAAAATTGTGTTCTTGTAAGTATCCATACTTACAGAAAGAATATAAGTGACATCTGCCACTTTTTGATGACTCTTAAGCAGTTTGGTAGATTCCTGTTTCATACATATTAGTATTACATATGACATAAATGTCATATGAATATCATAAGTGACAAATGAGTATTACATAATCATTCAGAGGATATTTCGTACATGTTTTAGGAGATACAAAGTGTTTCAGTCTTCCATGTTCTAATTTAGAAATTGAATACATAGCTGGGAATGACTTAACAAAACTACTAGCAAGGGAACTATCATGGATACCTCATTACTCTTTAAGTAAAGCCAATGATGGTGTTTTGAATGTGTTCTTTATAATAGTGCTTACCAGCCAGTGAATCATAGATAAAGATACTATAAATGTATTTCTTTTTGATATTTATGTCTCTTTACTTTATGTTTTTTGCTTTGATCTGCCATATTTACTTTTTTCCTCTACTTGCTTTGTAGCATTTTAGGATTTTTTTCTAAACATTAAATCTTGAGAAGTTAACAAATCTTATTTGCTTTGTCAACAAGAACGTTAATATTAAACAACAAACTAAACCATAGAACTGTATAAACATTTCAGCATAAGACCTTCGTATACTGAGCCTTTCAATGGTTTTTATCAGTGGAACTTATATGAATGAATTAATGTTGGTTTATATTGCAAATGTTACTTAAAATTTTGATTTAGAAGCACATTCATACAATTCATTTTTTTTTTTTTTTGTCTTTTGTCTTTTTCCATGTCCGGCAACGGATCGCAACCCTCAGTGTTGCCCCCGTACCGGACCGGGGACCGGCAACGGGATTGCAACCCTCGGTGTTGCCCCCGCGCCTCACTCAGCCAGTGAGCGGGAACCAGTCTGTATGTGGGATCCGAACCCTCGGGCGGGAGCGCCACCGCGCTTCCCAAGCGGCGCACCTATCCAGTGCGCCACCGGGTCGGCCCCATACAATTCATTTTTTAAATTGTAGATATATTTGTTGTTAGAAGCAGTTTCTTAATTCTTGGTTTTCTGTAGAAATCATTTGTTTTCTTTATTGCAGGGATCAGCAAATTTTTCTGTAAAGGGCCAGATAGTAAATATTTTTGGCTTTGCAGCCCTTAGAGTCTCTGTTGAAAACAGATATAGACAATACATAATTAAAATTTTACTTATAAAAACAGGCAGTGGGCTAGATTTGGCCCTGTGGGCTGTAGTTTGCTGATCCCCACTGTGCTGGAATCTGAAAATTATAAAACAAAATAAACCATGAAATCATCTTTCTCTTCTCTCCCCCCCCCACCCCGCTTCTCCCCACTTTTTAACCTCTTTATTATTTTTAACCCCTTTTTACAATCAGGAAACTGACACCTTAAGTAATTTGCTGGAAGTCATGCAACTAATGAATCAGCCAGGTTGTGCGCCCAGGCAGTCAACTGTAGAGCCCATACTTTTGATATTCATTATTATACTATATTGCTTTTATAACCAGTTACTATAGATAATGGTGAATATTGGTTGTGAATATTCTACAGTTATAAATTTTGTGTGGATTTTATTTATATAATAGGATTTTCAAAAAGGAAAAGTATTTTTGCACTAATAGTACAATAATATAAAACTCAGATTGACAGTTCTCTGGTAAAATCTAGGCCCAAAATTAACCTCTGTTGAATTTTTGCATATCCTTTCAGACTTTTCAATGCATATATAAAGTAAATATTTTAAAAACATAAATGGAAATCATAATAATGTATACTGACCTATAACCATTCTATAATCTTGGACAGATTTCTAAGTCAGAATATAAATTTCTACTTCATTCTTCTTAAAATGCCTTATCATATTCTATTAATATGTGCCATAATATGTGCCCTTTAGCATATTTGTACAAATGTATACTTTTAATAGTAGCATGTGAGAATACCTTTTCACCAATACCCTTACCATCACTGAGGACTACTATTCTTTTTTCCATCTTTTGTCTGGTAGGTGATAAATTGATTCTTTTACTTTAAACCTTTCCTTTTGTAAAAAATGTTTTGTCATTTGTATTTTTTTTTACCTAATGTTATTTTCCACATGTAGACTGTTGACTTTTTTTTTTCCCCCCAATAGTATGAAGTATTCAGAACAGAGGAAGAGGAAAAAATAAAATCTCAGGGACAGGATGTTACATCATCAGTATATTTCATGAAGCAGACAATCAGCAATGCCTGTGGAACAATTGGACTGATTCATGCTATTGCAAACAATAAAGATAAGATGCACTTTGGTAAATTTTCATTACTGCTATTTTTGCGCCTTAAGATGTAATGTGATTTCACTGAGCAGTGGGTGGTGCTCTAATTCTTTCAAACTGAAATAAAGCATTCCCCCCCTTCTTTTGTAATGAGAACGTATGTACTGTTAGAAGAAATATTAATCCTTCCCATTCTTTTATATTAGTGATAAACAGAGGTTTAACAAATAGCTTAAAGCTTATCATTTATCCCAAGATTCTTGTATTCTTAACTTACCAATGAAAAGATTTTATCTGTCATTTAACTAGCATGCTTCTAGTATTTTCATATATCTGTTTCTTTGTGATATCAAGCCTTTTCAATATTATCTTCTTTGATATTTTCAGAATCTGGATCAACCTTGAAAAAATTCCTGGAGGAGTCAGTGTCAATGAGCCCTGAAGAACGAGCCAGATACCTGGAGAACTATGACGTCGGTACCTTCTTTCTGTCTTGATTTCATATGTGGGCAAAATTTTGTGGGTTTGTAGATTCTGTTTGGGGTTTGTTTTGAAACTATAGTTTTGAGCAATTATGGATTTGATTGTGTCCCTTAAGAAAAGCCTTTTGTATATTTTGGGTAACTTTATCTGAAATATCCACAAATGTTGGTAAATTGCTACTTTTACATCCAGAGTTGAATGAGCCAATAAAAGCAGTTTGATTTACAAATTAATAAAATATCTTATGATTGACTATTCCTTACCATTTCTTTCCTATCATAAATGTATTCCTGGCAATACCCTGTATGTCTTTCATTGGGAATTTGAAACAGGCTGAAGATGAAAGGAAAAAGCAAAGGTTTAAAGGCAGATATTAGATTATATTCTAACTATTTGGTTAGTGTAACAGCCAGGCCATGTATAGTTTTAAATGATTGTACCACTTCTTAGAACTGTTTTAAAATAGTTTTTAAATTTTATTATTTTTGACATCAATTTTTTACTTCAATGCTTTTTATTTTTTAATAACATTATTAAGCAGGTTGCAAGTTCTTTAAAATTAGAAGCAGTATGGTATACGAATTATTTAGCTAGAACAATGCCTTGTGCAGAGTTTGTGTCCAATAATTTAATTGATTTTTTCATGTTGTTTAGTGTTACAATATACTTTGATTATTTTTTAATTGATTTTTTTTTTTTTTTTTTTTTGGTGACTAGCCCGTGTGGGTATCTAAACCTGTGACATTGGTGTTATAACACCGTGCTCTAACCAGCTGAGCTAACTGGTCAGCTCTTAAATTGTTTTTTTCTTTCAAAAAACCTGGAGATTTCATAAAACGTCTTTATTTTACATAAAAGTAAAACAAATAGGGCCGAGCCCGTGGCGCACTCGGGAGAGTGCGGCGCTGGGAGCGCAGCAGCGCTCCCGCCGCGGGTTCGGATCCTATATAGGGATGACCGGTGCACTCACAGTGCTCACTGGCTGAGCGCGGTGCGGCCGGTCTCAAAAAAGGACAAAAAAAATAAAAAATAAAAATAAAACAAATAACATGAAGGTCACTAGTAATCCCACCAATGAGATGTAGCTACCATTAATATTTTTTATAGGTAGTATATACACAATTTTTTACAATAGAAGTTTGATCACACTGTAATACTGTTTTATAACTTGCTTTTTTCATTTATCACAAATGTATTACATACCAGTAAGTATATATTTGACATTATCATTTAATGGGTGCATAGCTTTCCATTTTATCGTATTTTATTTAACCCATAAATTATCATTTGAAATTTTATAGTTTTCTCTCTTTTACACTATTTTAAAAAATACTTTAAGGTATATCGTTTTAGCTAAATCTTTGCAGATATCCTTAATTATATATAATTATGTGCAATTATATGTAAATATATAAACTCCTAGAAGAGAAATTGCCAGATCAAACAGTTTGCATGTTTTTAAGGCTTTGATACTTATTGCTGATTTGCTATTTATAAAGGTTGTACTTTCACCCATAATTTACTGTTGTGCTCATTTTTTTCCATCTTTGCTAATAGTGGGTATTATAAAAACATTTTTTTTAAGTTCAGGAAACCAAATTCTATAGCTTCTGATAAATGCATGCATTTTGCTCTACATTTCTAAATTGCCAACTGAAACTGCATGATTATGCACAAATACAGCCTGAGCTGCAGAGGAGCATGGAACCTGGAGACAGATGAGATAAGCTTCTTCAGTCTCTATCTGTGAGATGCTCACTAGTGTTAAGTGTTAGTTCTAACAATTACGTTAAATGACCCTTACTTACACACAGAAATTATAAATAATCGGATATTCAATTTTCTAAGACTTCAGAGATTTGTGGGTTAGAAAGTACAGCAATTCATTTGGTTACCCAGATATCTATCATTCTTTAATATCTAGTATTGAAGTGTTATTAAATTTCCTCTGATTTGTTGTTTCTTCACAAGACTGTATGTATTAAAATTTAGCTTTGTTGTTGTTTTCATTTAAAAAGTTGGGTATAGTCATTTCTTCTTATGAATACCTTGTATTCTTATTACAGGCTATTCGAGTTACTCATGAGACCAGTGCCCATGAAGGTCAGACTGAGGTATTTTATATTTTTTCAAACTTTTTCTTGCTATATATAAATTTAACCATAGTGTTACTGTAGGACGTATAGTTTTAGAAGATTGCTTGGCCTTTCTTTTCCTTTGAGGGAATTTGCTTATGTGAAAGCAGTCATAAGGTAGCACAAGAACATGTTTTGACAAGTTGATATCTGCCATCTCAGTTCATCTAATCATTTAGACAGATTGCAGGTTGTGTGCTGTTTGCTTTAGCCAACAGGTGGCCTTTGTCTTCCCTATCGGCTCCCTTTGACTTCTAAGTATTTTGAGAAAAATACTTGCATTATTATACAGTTAAATAGCCTGTATGATCTTCAAGAGTCTTTATCATGCCCAGCTTCCAGCAAGAAAAAAAAAAAACACATCGTTCTCTTTGCTCAATAAATCTGTTCTGGGGCAGTGTGATGATCTTTACCATTTCTACTGTGTTAGCTAGTTCCACTAGGTTGCTTCTCTCCTCTTCTTGCCTCTTTTTTTATTTTATTGTTTTCTCTCATTCCCATCTTCCATTTCTTCCTTTTATCCTACTTTCTTTTCTTCCCTCCAACTCTCACTCTATCACTCTTGGGGGAAGTTTGTCAGACAGACAGTTAAAATGAATAGAGTTTAATTAAAGCTGTTTGGTGTGCTTATAGCACATTTAAGTGTTAATGCCAGAGAATTATAGATTTTCTTCTTTCTTTTCCCATTAGTGACCACACTTTTTTGCATATGACATTGCCTTTACACTTTAAAAATACTAGAAAAAATACCTGATTTAAGAATATTGGTTTTAAATATTCACAGTATCTTCAAAAACATTTTTTTAAGGAGAAAATGGTTTGATACTGTTATCTAACTGTAATTATTCTTAGATTCAAATGGATAGCTGTGAATGTTTATACTAAAACTGTTTAGGAATTGAAACATTAATTACATCATATCTTGGTTGCTCTCAGGTGCTGCTTTCAAAGGTGTGGACTATTGTTTTTGACTAAGTTTATACATATAAAAGTGCCATTTCTAAATGTCTTTAACACCTGATTAGAAATTAATGAACTGTTTTTTGTATTGCTTTATATGATCCTGAGCATGTTCTTAATGTCCACAATGCTTTGCTTTTTTATTTGCAAATTTACAGTGTTAAAATTAGTGGTGACTGGGCCGGCGCGGTGGCGCACTGCTACAGTGCGCCGCTTGAGAGCGCGGTGGCGCTCCCGCCGAGGGTTCGGATCCCACATACAGACCAGCCGCTCACTGGCTGAGCGAGGTGCGGGTGCAACACCGAGGGTTGCGATCCCATTGCCGGTCCCGGTCCGGTACAGGCGCGACACTGAGGGTTGCGATCCATTGCCGGCCATGAAAAAAGACAAAAAGGAAAAAAAATTTTAAAAAAATAAAATCAGTGGTGACGAGGATCAGCATAAGATTGTTGTAAGATACAGAAACAATTCCTTATAGTAAAACTATTAAATGCTTTAATACATATTTACTTCAAAAAATGTTTATGTTTGCTAAACTTTCTCTTGCCTCCTTTTTGGAGCTTCATCCAAATTATGGCTTTAACTGGTCCTTTTTAGATGATGTTCTTATCTCTTTTTCCAGACCTAAAGTCATTCTTTCCCGTCTTGGGTGTCTGTTAGATATCTCCTGAATGACCCACCAGTATTTTAGAATACACTTGTCCTTGTTTGAGGTTATTATCTGTATCTTAAACTTTTTCTTTTCTTTATTTTTCCTATTTCTTATAATTGTTCCACCATACTACCATCACTAAGCTAATACAGATTTGTTTAACCTCTTTGGAAGATTGGCTTCTTATGCAGATTCTCAGTTTTTATTCTAATTATCACTCATTTTTACACAATTCTGCGGGATTGCCTTTTCTAAAATGTAACCTGACTCAGTTGTCTACTCACATTTTTCTAGGGGCTCCCTAGTGCATAGAGCAGTGATTTTTCAAGGTGGGGTGGAGGTAGGAGTTAGGATCTTCTGGAGAGCTTTTTCAGACTTTACTACCACAAGAATTAATCTCTTCTGCTCCTTTCTCATCTCCCACATTTGAGGATCATTGCTAGAATGAACCATATTTTTGATGTATAATATATCCCTAAAATGTATTGGGGTGAAAAAGTGTTTGAGAATCATTCCTCAAGCCTGTGTAATCAATTTCAGCTGCTTTAGCCTAGCTGTGTTCAAGGTTTTCCTAACTCCTGTATTTTTAACTTTGTGACAGTGTTCCTCTTTAAATATTTTTCTCTAGCCATTCTTTATTTTATTATTGCTATTTTGTACTTCTTGCATTCCTTCTTTCTAAAAATATTCCTTCCCTCAATCTCTGCACTTCCTACTGCTATTCGTCCTTCAGGACTCAGCTTAAATATAACTTTCTGAGTGAAGCAGTCCCTGATTATCAGACCTGGATATATTTTATCCCTTCTATGAACTCTTTTATTTGACTCCTCCAACAATTTGTATTTTAGCTGTTTTTATATTCTTTTTTATTTAAGATGTATATTTTCATATTTTAATAACTCTGAAAGTAGGATGTATCTTATAACTGATGTCATAGTTTACTTGGTTTTATTCCTTTCTTAGTGACACATAAAACGATGCCTCTTATAACTGATGGTGCCTCAGTTTAATAAAATAAGGTATCATATCTCCCGTACTGTGTCTCTTAGTCCTAGGTCTCATTCATGCCCATGCTCCAAATTATCCAACACTTTCCCTTGTACATAGGCACAACACATATTTATTAATTCACCAGAATTAGCTTAGAACTGTTCTTGGTGATATAAGGACTACAAAAATAGGCCAAATCTTAGTTTTCTGTAGTCTCCTGAGTAAACAAGACATATCCATTAGCCATTGTTCCTCAATAGGGCACTGTTAACATTTTGGGAATTCTTTATTTTGTGGGACTGTTTTGTGTATTCCAGGGTGGAGTATAGTGTCCTCTGGTTACTATACATTAGTGACTTCTGGTCACTGAGAGAACAAAAACCCACACCATGCATTTCCAAAACCAGTTATCAACCAACTTAAAACCCCTATACCCAGGGCTTTTTTCCTGATCATCTCATTTCAGGTTCATCTGCCATCTCTGGGCTTAAGAGTCTTTGATGTATTATCTCTATTGCTCTCTACATTCCAGCATACTGGTTTCTGTCAGGTCTTTCCCATCTGTATTAGTCTGCTTGGTCTGCTATAACAAAATACTACTGCGTGCCTTAAACAACAGAAATTTATTTTCTCTTAGTCCTGGAGGCTGGAAGTCCAAGATCTAGGTGCCAGCAGAGTTGGTTTCTACTGAGGCATCTCTTCCTGGCTTGTAGATAATTGCCTTCTTGCTGTGTCCTTACATGGCCTTTCCTCTGTGTGCACATAAAGAGAGAGACAGATTTCTGGTATCTCTTCCTCTTATATAGACACCAGTCCTATCACATAAGGATCCTATCCTTATGACCTCATTTAACTTTACCTCCTGAAAGGCCCTATCTCCAAGTACAGTCACTTGAGAGGTTAGGGCTTAAACATATGAGTTTTGGGGGGACACAGTCTAGTCCATAACACTGTCTTTGTGTTTTCCAGTACCCTTCTAGGTATAACCTTCCTCTTTACAGAGTTTGGCACCTTCTCATTCCTCAGGTCTAACCTTTAAAGTCATTTTTCCTGAGAAGCCTTCTTTTATCACTGTTAAGTGGGTCCACCTTATTTTCTCTTCTAAAATTCTGTTTATATTCTTCCTGGTACTTTTTAATAATCTGTAATAAGTTTTTTTCTTCTTTTTGTTTGTTTATCCTGCTCACTTACTAGAATGTAAGTCCCATGAGGGCATGGGCCTTGTTTGTCATGTTCACTTTGAATCCCCAGAACAATGCTGGACATATGTAGGAGCTTATAAAAAAAATTACATAATATAAAGTTAAGAGCACAGGATGTAGGTTCGCATACTGACTCCATCACCTATTAGCTTAGGCAAGATACTTTTCTCAGCATAAAATGGAGATAATAGCATCTACTTTATGGGATTGCTATGAAGATTAGTGAGTTAATCACATAAACTTATTAGAATAGTGCATTCCATAAGTATTAGGTGGTAATTTTATTTTAGTAGGCATTCAGAAAAATGAATCTGAATGGCAAAAGATGAGGCTGAAGTTATGGGTTGAAACCAGATCAAGGAGGATGGCTTGGATTTTATAGGCAATGGAGAACCACCAAAGATGGTTTGTTTAGTTTTCAGTATACTGAAAGATGAGCTTATTGGGTCATCATTAGTAGTTTAAAATTCAGGGGAGATATCTGGAGTCTTTTTTATTTGGGTAGTAGTTAGATTCTTGAGAATTCTGTAGAGGGAAAATAGTGGTGGACCAACAATAAACCCCTGGGGCATGTAGGTGTTAATGGATTGGGTAGAGAAGAGGAGCCAGTAATAATACAGTGTAATAGCAATTGCAGTCATCATTGACATCATTGGTACTCTCTATCAGAACATTTTCATGGGAATGGAGGACGTAGGAACCTTACTGCATACTGAGATTTGTAGACTAAATGAGGAATTAGTACTTCGAGCCACCAAATACAGTAGTCTTCTCAGAAGATTGGCTGTAGTGTGCTGCTATAGAGTAATTATCTATTTAGTTATGTTTTTCTGTATCCCACCATGATTGCCTGGCAGACGTTGGCTAATTCTGAAATTCGGACAGTAGCCCCACCTTGCTTATGCTTCATTAACTTATACTGAAAGGTATTTCTTTCATTTTTCACTTAAGATTGGAAAGATAAAAGAACAATGAGATATGAGGAAATTAAATTATGAGTAGTTGAGAGAATTTTTTTCCTTTGATTTTTCATTTGCTACAACCACCATTTTGTACACTATTCTAGATAGTGAGAATAAAATAGTGTTATTGGATTCGCTTCTCTTTAATAATGCTACAGAAGTGGTTGATATTATGGGACATTTAATTCAGCCCTGTGAGGTATTACCATTATC